ACAACCAAGTTTGAACTAGGTATGTCATTGTACAGAGACGAGTCGTATTCGGTATCATTTGGAATGGCTGACTTTCCCTTACGAGTGACAGTCAATCGACCATTGTTTGTGCAAGTCACGATTGACTCCCCTGACAAGAGACTAACGGTAATGGCGGAGCGTTGCTATGCAACACCGACTCAGGATCCACGCCATGTCATGCAGTATGACATCATTACTGATGGGTAAGGTTATACTTTATTTATTACAATGTCCTRAAAGAAGCTTTAATTGATATCTTTTTGCAATCTAAAAAAGCTAACAGTGACGACAGATGAAAAAAAAAACATTGCTGTGCAAAGATAAGATTGGCATCTCTTTGAACAATGCCTTAATCTAACCAACACGGGACGTTCTTGTATGAGTCAAGCATTTCCCTTTTCCAGTCAAATAATTTGACTAGGCACTACATTATCAACATTTGCGTAGAAACGTCAAAGAATTTGACTGAAATATCGGGTTGAAGTGTCAAGGGTGATGTAACATTKGGATACTGGAGAGTCTTGAAAAAGCAGAAAAGAATGAATTAGTTTTATTTGTTAAAAATTCGCACAACTGATCGCAACAAAATGAATTTTTACTCTGTATTTCAGGTGCAAGGCCGATCCAACGGTTCAGTTTTATAAAGGACCACACACCGTGCAACGTTACAGTTTTAAAGCCTTTCAGTTTCTYGCTAAAGGAAAATCGTTCGTTTATCTACATTGCCAACTTGTAGTATGTAACGTGTCCGACACCACRTCTCGATGCGCACAAGGCTGCGTGGAGTCAAATTTTGGAAGACTGAAACGTCATGCCGTACCATCAACTGAAGTGGAATTAACTCAAGGACCTTTTATACTTGAAARAAACCGTCCTTCTTCCTTAGCGCAACACTCAGGTATGTTAACTTGTATAGTTTCATGTCAATCATTTAACCTTAAGGCTATGTATATTTAGATGGCTCCATTCAGTAGCAAGCATACGGTGTCATATACGGAGTCGATTTTGTACAAGTAGAAAAGAGAGAAAAGACGAATTTATCGCGTCACCTGCTGTCAGTGCTGTTTTCCATTTGTACTTATCAATGTCCTTCAGCCTTCATTGTTTCACTTCTTTGGATTCATATTGTCCTGATTTGAAGACTTAGTAATTTTACTCCACTATTGGTATTGAACCCCATCGATCAAAGTGTTATGTGAGCTGAAAAATTCACTTCATAATCCATTAATAGATAAATGCATTTTGAAAAGATCATATAACATAGAGATTTTTTTTAACTATATTTGTTATTTCCTTTCTTGTAGGCTCATCATTTAAGGACTATATTTGGATAATGATCGGGATGGCAGGGTTTTGCGTAATGTGTTTGATCGCGATGGTTTACATGAAGAAACAAATCAACAGAAACAGCAAACATCAGCCGCAACCAGATCCTGATAGGGAAACAAGTGTCTAGGCCATGTGACGTGTAGTTTAGTTTCAAATGCTAATCTTCATGCCACTAGCCTTGGAGCTAAAGCAAAAGTTATGTTCAGTAATGGTTTCTCTTCTATAAGGAAAAACGAACAAACATGACTGATAAAGACCTAGTTGTTTGTAACCTTTTCAACGTTGGGCTTCCTGTGGCAGCTGGCAGAGGAGGTTCAGTTTATTTAAAACCGCAAGCATATGAAAAGTATATTAGATTATCCCCTTTTGATCCTTGTGTGTCTAGGCCGGATGTGATGATTTAAAATACGCAGCGGAAGCAACAAAAATATTGATAAAACAAATTCAAATAAGATGAAAAATGGGTCTCRTTTGACACAAAATATTGATTTCGGTTTATCAGATGTCAGTTACACGTGCAACTGGGTAGAGCTCTTATATCAGCAGGGGGTACGGGACTCCTATATATAGAACGTTGAGGGGTAAAAGTCTGTTTTGTAGGGTGTTTTGAAGATTTCTAACCCACCAACGTTTAAGCTAATTAAAGACAAAATTGAATGGACAAAACGCTATTACTGCCCTAAATAATATGCAACCTTTTTCTGAGTGTTTGTACCCTCCTTCTCCCCTCCCCCATATCAAGTTTGAGTCCACGAATGTTTTTGCATTGAGACACGGTGTATTTTAAGCGCAACTTTGTAAATGGGGGGTCCAGGGAAAAAAATTATACGGCGTGTTGTTTCATGAATTATGCCTAAGATTGTAGTATCTTACTACAACGACCAGAAAGCATTGCGCATGTTCATTGTCATTCAGATTTAAACTCCCCTTGGAGATAAGTAAAACAATTGGCACTAATTTCCTTACAAACGAAAGTGGGCAAAGCATTCTGATAGTTGTAGTTAATGGAGTAGAGGTTGTCGTACGACTTCCATATATGGAGGTCCATATGCA